CTTCATCCAATCTAGCAGCTAAGGGGTGCTCGTCCGCCATTAGCTCTTGAAGTGAGGATACCTGGTTTGCATCCTTGTACTCATAGTTCCATTAAGACTGAGAATCGACTCATATATCCAAATTAGGGGTGCAACTAGAAAGCCTTTTAGTTTGTAAAGGCTAGATCTATTCTCAGTCTCTCATTCAGATAAGACATGAAAATCCCAAACAATATCTTCCACCATGAGAACATCTCCATGACATCAAAATCTTCCATGAATGCAAACAAGTAATGCTCAACCACCTTTTTGTATGATGTGGAGAACAAGTAAAATGTTACCAAATGCCACTACATCATAATCTGTAACATCTGTTCCACAAGGAATACATCTTCGACGTCTTCATTTCACGGTTTTCTATTGACTGAGATATGTATTCTTTATCTTTGATGGTAGTGATTCAAGTTTCTTCCTATCATCGTTGCCAGTATATCTGAGTCATATAGCTAAGCAGAACTCATGCAATAAAAATATGATAAATCTTCCTGCAACCTTGAGCTAAATGTCCTCTGAGTTCAATTGCTTTATCTTCCTCAAAGGGATCAATGACGGTTGAATGACAATTTTGTGGCAATCCATTTCATATGAAAAACATGTATCTATCGGTATCCTTTTGTGCATTATTGAATTTTTATATTAAATTAGTTAGCACATTCTTTGTCGCGCTCATTGTAATTTTTCTTGGAAACCAACGATCTTTGTGAATAATATACTTCCATTCCTGCATTAATTGGATAGATAAATATATTATGAAGATCAGATATGGAATGCATTTATGAAATACCTACATTTACAATTTCGTAATGTACATGCAGTAATAGAACAGTCAGGTTATATTTGTAAACACATACAGTCATAGTTCTAGAATGTAATGCAAATATTACAGAAAGTAAGTCACAATCCTAAAAATCTAATTAAAAACCTAATGTCACCATCATAAACAACTAATGTCATAGTTCAACCTACAGATTCGATCTGCAACCATCTAACATTTGGAGCACAATCTGGTCATTATCAAAGAAGAACTCACGTCACAACCCTAGAGTAATTGTTGAACATCCTAGTCATAGTCAATTTGATCAGTTTACAATACAAAAATGGGTAAAAAAATTATAGAACACTTCAATCACAAACAGATAAAAGGGAAGCCACTTTTATAGAATGAGAATAACATCCAATTCAAAATCAAACAAAATCATGTTACAAACAAACCACATTTAAAGAATAACCTCACCCAAAATTAGTTCATCCCAAAATCAGAATAAAATCAAGTCACAATAATTCAGTATCTTGAACTAACTTACCCATCAACTGACCCTTCCATAAAAGAAGTTTAAAACCAAAAAAATTCAATAGTGAATTGAATTATCTTTGAATTCAATTTTGCATTGGATCTAAATTTTTTCAATTTTTTGATTGAGTTTCTTTGTGGATTTGGATATTTTTCTATTATCTCTCCCTTCACTTGTCTCCTCTTCCTTCTTCGAGTGATCGACCCTCCTTGTTAGAACCATGTTATACACTTATTCGGTGCCTAAAATAGCGATATTTGATAGTTCTTTTGACAAAATATATTCTAAATGGTTGTATTTTATGTTTAATAGGTGAAACTATATGAATGAAAAAGGGGATTGAAGGAAAGAAGCAAGAGGTGATGAAAAATGGCAAATTCCAAAGTTCAAGGACGAACTTGCATTACATAAAAGAATTGAAGATTTGGAAGCAAGCATTAATTTAATTGGACATTGAAATTAATTGGGCCTCAACTTGGACATAAAATTAGACACAACACATTGGTGGCTAGGTTATATGTATACATAAATATCACACGGGAGGGAGCAGCTTTTGGAGAAAAAAAAAAGAATGCGAATTGGTTGCTGAAATTTAATATATATTGGCTGCAAGGTTGATATACACACACACAGAGAGACACACACATACACATACATACACAGAGAAAATAGAATAAAGAAAAGGGATAGGAGAATATACACGCGTACAGAGGAAAAGGAAAAGGAAAAATTGGCTAGCTAAATTAATTATATACACACATAGGAAGCCGAGGCACGCAGAGAGAAAAATCACGCATTCAGAGGCTAGAAAAAGAAGGCAGCTTCAATTTGGAGAATCAATCACGTTACGTCAATTTTTAGTGATATAATTCCACTTTTGCGAGTTTAATTTTAACAATATGATAGACTAAATTTTTACATTGCTAAGATATAATGAACCCTTATTTTGAAATTTTTAATTTTAATTAATTATTTTGACGACTAGTATGTTTATTTTCTTGAATGTTTATTATTGTTTTCACCGACTTTTCAATTAATTAGTTACCAATTGAGATGATTTATTAGAATATATTAATATCGAGAGAGAGAATATGTTTTTACCTAAAAATAATAAACATTATAAAGTCCGATAGGGGATAGAGATTTACATCTATAATTTACATATTTTTCATAGGTGTTCAGATCGTTTAATGAATTTATCATGTTCGTATCTTTGATCGAGAGATGTGTGTGTCAAATGAGGGGAATATATTTGATAACTATCGAGAGAGGTTTTCAATTAAATTATGAATACTGACCAACAAGAATCATTATAAATTGTCACTTTAATTCGTTGTGCTAAAAATAGATTAATAAGTGAATTCGATATCTTAGCAATATTTTCACATATTTGAAATCAAACTAGTTAAATTACTTTATAATTTAATCGATAATTTAGATGTTAGTATGAACAACTCAACCCTATTTGCTATTCGATTAAGGTTGCTATTAATTAGAACTCGATTGAGTACATAATTCTTGTAAGTTCAACACTCTACACACTACTATATTACTTGATCACGATCCCGTTCACTTGCGGGAAATCAAACGATCAAAAGAAATACGATAAATTCCTATTTGATTTAGATAAAAATTAGATTTTCAGTAAATTCTAATAAAGTTGATAGAATGATGGGTTAAAAAGTTAATGACCCCATAAATGTGTAGTTAAAATTAATTGTTAACTTTAACTTAAATTTTAATTAAACATTTTAGTTGAATCAAACAGGAGCTAAATAAAAAAGTAAACAATACAAAAATGGAGATATTTAGTCACGTCGTTACCCTTAAAATTCTCAGTGAAGCGAGGGACGAGGAGGGCCGTCCCATTAGTTGAAATCCCTAAATCATGCTATCAACAAACTTTATGTTAAGGACAAAAATGGGTTAATTTCCTAAATGGTCATTGAACTTTTCTTAAAGTTGCTACGAGATCATTGAACTTAAAAACTATCCCCATTAGTCACCTACCTTTGAAAGTTGGTATCACATTCATCACAACATAAGGATTTGATGACTTTAAGCATGAGTCTAAGGCCTTGTATGGGAGGGATTAAAATCAAATTAAAATTGAAAATATAGCCTTTTATTGTTGACTTTTATTAGACGAGTGGGACCCAATAACGGTCATATTTTCAATTTTAATTGGCTTTTAATCCCTCCCGAACGGAGCCTAAGTGTGTGTTTGACACCCATTTTAATGGGTTGAAAATTTTTGGAATAGTGATTGATGGGAGAATGTGTGATGGAAAAGTAATGAAAAGTTATAGATTTGTGTGTAATATTATTTTATTTGGAGATTGTGTGGTTGAAATAAAGTGTTTGACACCCATTTTAATGGGTTGAAAATTTTTGGAATAGTGATTGATGGGAGAATGTGTGGTGGAAAAGTGATGAAAAGTTTTAGATTTGTGTGTAATATTATTTTATTTGGAGATTGTGTGGTTGAAATAAAGAAAGAGAATGGATGCCAAACAAGGGCTAAATGTGCATGATCATTTTTTATTCACAAATCGTCCAATGCATATTTGGGCTTTTTTAATGGTTGAATGCGTGATTTTATCCAAATGTAGAGCTTTTCGAAATTTAAATTTCACAGACTTTATGAACTGGATTATTATAATTTCTAACTAATTATAACATGATTTGTGTAAAAATTTGATTTATAGTTTTCAAATGCGTGCCACTTAAGCCATACCGTTAGACATGTCATCAAATTCTTTCAATTTTGCAAGCGTCGTTTAACGCAGTGATGGATGGATTACCAATTTTCAAATTTAAGTGACTAATGGGGATATGGAAATTAACCTAAAATGTCATTAATTGTGTGTTTGATTGTCAATATTTTTCTACCTAATTTTCTGTTTTTGTGCTGTTTGATTGATATTTTTTTTCAAAAAAAATATTTTTCTACTTTTGGTCTTGTGACCATATTTTTCTTGAAAAAAAGAAAAATATTTTATTTCGGGATATTTTCTAGGTAATTTAGCATCTCTTTCTCTCTCTTATTTATCATCTCTCATTCACCCACTAATAAAAATTAGATAAGTATAATATTTTTTAAATTAAGGGTATGTCTGGTGGTCATTTTGGGCCAATTTTAATCAATAAAGTGACCGTTAGTAGGGCCCGCACCACTCATGGCCGGTCAAACATTGCGGATGATGGGATCCGCAACGATAGGAAAAACAGTTATTTTGGCCAATTTTTTTGATACCAGACAACCCTAAAAATTAAATCAATCAAATACATTTAATTAATAATTTTCATATAAATAAATTCTAAGCAATTGGGCCTAATTTTTTTTTTTTTTCATGCAAATTTCCTACTCACTGTCATACACTCAATTGCATGTAAGGCACACCTCATTTAAATAGACGGCTGACCACTTTTCTCGAATTTAGAGCTTGTTTGGTAGGGAGTTTTTGGGAGAAGAATTGATTTTGAATAGTGATATGATGGGAAATGTGTGGTTGAAAAAAAAGAAAAAATTTTTGATTTGATGAAAAATATTATTTTATTGAAGAATGTGTGGTTGAAAATAAGAATTGATTTACTGTATAAAATGAGAATTCCAGCAAACAGGCCCTTAACAACGAGTCTCCCAAAAGAAAAAATTAAAAGCAAAGAATGGCAGCGCGATCTCTGTGGCGCGCCAAAACGAAGCTGCTTTTAGCAGCCACTGTGGCTGGTGGAGCCGGAACCGGCTCGGCTATGATTGCCAACTCAGAGGACCCTGCCTCGGCCCTGAAGCTCTGCACCGCCGTCCCTCTCCGCCTCCTCCGTGACTCCATTACTGCCGCCACGATTGCTTTTGGTAAAACCATAATTGGGGCAGTATTCCAGTTTTTCATTACAAATTAAGCTTAGTTAATTGTTATTCGAATTTCTTGCATCATTAACACGTACAGACGCATTTTTTTCAATAGCTATACTCATTTGGCGTTTTTTCTTGATCTAGGTGTTTATATTGCTTTATCAGAATTCATTTTTTTTCCAGTTGTGGCATTTTTATTTATGGTTGGTCCATGATTTTATACTATTGTCTGTGTTTATTGCAGTTAGTTTTAAAAGTATAGTTTTTGTGATCTCAAATATATTTTTGATTCAATTGGTCATTTTCTTGGAACTTTTATCATGAAATAGTTTAGAGATTACGGTCTTAAATATAACTTTTCATGGTCTTGATTTAAGTTATTTTTCACAAAAAATATTTTTTTTTTGAAAAACTAAAAAGAAAAAATTGTTCACATTATAATTCAATCAGTTATTATCTGCTATTTTAATTCTAAAAAATATAACATTTATGTGTATCTATTTATGGGCATTCATTGAGACATAATTTGGAATATATTTAATGCAATTATCAGTCCCCGTATTGCATTACTTATTTTGTTATTATCTAAAATATAAGTCAGTCCCCTCATACTCTTCTCCCCTGAACATCAATCTGTTGGTTAGAACATCACTGCGAAACCTGTTGAACATACATTATCCAATTAAAATTTTCAGGTCAAAATGAAACTCTTGCAAACAATATCATTACTTTTAGAACTTTGTGCAAAACTGTAAAGCACACCTTGAATGCAATTCATGAGGACATACACAGTTTGTTAATAGACTGGTAACGAGGGAAACAGAATAAATGGACATACAGCATACTATAAGGAATCATAGGTACTCCAAGATCCTTACAAATTTAGGGGATCCCTTAATGGTCTTGTCACCCACTTCCTTTTCGTATAGATAGGGTCACACATCAGAACGCCTTTAGGTTCATCAATCCCCCATATAGATTCCAGTATAGACAGCGTTAATTATGCCCTTATTAGTATTCATATGACCACACTGGGAACAAATTGAGAAAGTCAGTGTTCTCAATAGGAGAGGCACTTAAGGACCACTAGAATTTGATGGTAGACTTAAACACCGAATAGTTTCTTGATTGCATAGATTTCCTTGACGTGTAGTTTGAGTAGTATGGCATGAATGACAATCAGTGCATTCGTTTTGCTAAAACTAAACATAAAGGTGTACCAAGCCCTACAAGTAATCTGTCGCACAGTTATCATCATGCGATTGGTCCTAACACCTTAGGTGGCGAAAGGAAATGCAAACTCAGAGAAAATATGTCCCTAAATGTTTAGGGACGAGTTGTTCGGTCAATTTCTCAGCTATAGAAATGGATTTTTCACTATTAGTGTGTACACAACTCAATTTTTTGGAGCTTATGTTCTGGTGAGATATTGATGAAGCTCTATGCCAGTCTCAATATTCATAAGTGGGCTGAAGCTTGACATTAAGTGTGAGTTATGTTGCACTTTGTTGAGTCTTTAGAAAGGCTATCCTTACTATGACAAATACACCTCAGTCACTTGTTAATTCTTGTTGGAGATTTGACTTTCCTAATTTAGTCAAATCCTTGATAAGTATAAGCTAGGAATGGAAAATATTCTTTTAACAACTTGAGGGGGAGTGTTGGAGGATTTAACTTTCTTTATTCAATCAAATTGTAGACATGATCGGTTTTTTACTTTTCCATTTTAGGAGATTTATGCTAGTTTCCTTTTCTTTCTATTGGATATATTATGTTAAGTCTTAAGAGGACAAATAATGATAGGTAGTTAAAACTTTCTTTTATGGTTATATGTAATCTTTGTCTTTGTAGTTTTAAGAGACAATATAGTTATATAAATGCTCCATTCTTTGTATTGATGTCGTATTTACTTATGTTGCGATTTCCAATAGTTATATTAAATGCTCCATTCTTTGTATTTATGTTGAATTTACTTTTGTTACGATTTCCGAGATTATATCAAAACAAGTTTAGTTTATGGCTTACGTTAAACTTGCATTTGTCCCCCATGTGGTGCTCGTTTGAACGATATATTTTTTCATATTCGTGATAACATATTGATGATTGTGTAGGTCAGTTTATAATATTATATTTTTCCATTAATGTGTGAAAATGTCTTCCAAAATAGAAAAAGTGCATCGATAACGCTGTTGTCTAGCTTATAATGACGAATTAATTTTTGTCCAAAATAACCGACTATGATAGCTAAAGATGAAGATTCTCCACTGAAGGATGTACTATCAAAGTGGCTTGATGCTCATGACATGATTCCTTTTTTAATTAATGTTTGGTCTTCTTTTAATTCTATGTTCTGATTTTTTTGAGCTGCTTCTTGATGGGCAATGGTTTTGGTGTGGAAATTTTGTGCCCCATTTTCGGGGGTGCCATTTGGTGCATTCTTTTTTATCAAGTTCATAAAATTAATGAAGTTTTCTCTCCATAATTGTTGTTTCACCAAGCGAGATCTTCAATTTTACTTTTGAAACGCACTTGATTGACTTTGCAATTGGTTGGCTGCTTTAAAAAAATTCAGCTAATTTTATTTTTGGCCTATAAATTGTTCAGAGCATTTAAATATATATCTTCAGAGGTATAGACAATTAACCCCTGTTTGATGGTTATTATTTGAGAAAAATAGAGTTTTGAATAGTGATTTTAGGAGAATGTGTGATTAAAAAGTAGGGAAAAATTTTGGATTTACGTGCAGAATATTTTATTGAGTGAATGTGTGGTTGAAAATGAGTATGTAGAAAAAAGTGTGAAAATAATGGTTGCCAAACAGGGGCTTAGCTGAAGTTCTAACAAAATGACTGCTCTATTTAACGTTTGTTAAAAAATCCTAGCAATTTTTCTTTATATCCCTCTTCTCATAGTTTGAAAAAACGTAAATGGGTACCGAGACCTTTTTTTGTTATGAGGCAAGGCGTAAGCCTCAAAACGTTTTGAGGCGTAAGCCTTACCACAAACAAAACAGGTGCATTCTGCCGAACAAAACAGGTGCAATCTGGCGACGATACACTGAACAAGAAAAAAACCAAGCAAAGTCTAGGGAAACAATTTTAAATTGTAAGTCACTAGAAGAAGGCAGAAGCAAAGGAGAAAAGAGACATAGAAGCAGCACTTGAAGACCTCTTTTAAGCGAAGGATTGAAGATAAGTTTTCTGGTTGCCGTTTAGTTTTGGGAAGATTTCTGACTGCAGTGTAGTTCTGGCCATCTAGGAAGATTTCTGTCTGTCGTGTAGAAGGATTTCTGCCTGCCTTTTGATATTCTAGATATTTTAATATTTTGTTTGGTCCAAAATGTCTTTTTAAATGGGCCCTTCTCTTTTTTAAAAGGGCCTTTTTTAATTTCTTTTCAAAAACCTGAAAAAAACATACTTCAAATGAGGCGCACGCCTCATTTTTTTTGCCTTAGATGTATAGGCATGCGCCTCATTTTTTGTGCCTCACAGATTGAGCCTCGAGGCACAGAAGCTGCGCCTCACAGTGAGGCGGGCATCAAGGCGGGCCTCAGCAGGGTTTTTTCATACCATGCCTCTTCTTGCTCTCTTTGTTTACGTAATGAACTACCTTGATGAGAGTCCAGTTTTCACTTTTACTACATAAATTTCCATCATATTTGTTAACACCTGCAATTGCAAAGGTTTTGTTAGGCAAGTTCGTTACTCATCTTTTGGTGAAGTGTTGAATCAACCCATGATGTTAGATCATTCTATTTGATGGGGAATAATGATAGTTTAATTTTATATTAGTTTATTATAATTTATTATAGTTTTCTAGTTTGACTAGAATTAGATTATTATTTGGTACGTTTTCTAGTTGGACTAAATTAGGGTTTATTTACTTTTCTTCTTAAATTAGGTTTGCTTTGTTCATTGTAATAGACAACTTTGTTATTGAATAAAAACTTATATTTTCTCCCATTCTTCCTCTTTTTTTCTCAATTTTATTCTCGTCCATTGCATGCTACGTCAATTTGTTATCAGAGCTTGGGGCTCTCCTTTGATTGGATTTTTGTTCACCACTTAAGTATTTTACAGAAGCCGCTTAATGCAACAACCACCGTCCAATCCCTTTCCACCATTACCTAATTCCAAACATCAACTCCTTTTTCACCTACCAACAAAACTCTCTTGCACCCAACATCTAAATTTACACCAAACACTAAACTCAAAAAAGAGTAGCAGCTTAACAGTACAAACTAGTGCTAGAAAGAAGCTTGATTTCTGTCTTATTTTAGTTTATTGTTAGCAAAATTACCGATTTTTTTATTTTACTTCATTTGCATTAAGAGGTTTGGACGACCTTAAAAAAAAAATCAATTGTAGAGTGGTGCCTTACTATTGTTGCCACAAACTCACCATAATTTTAGCCCACTCTCTAAAAGCTCAGTAATCCACATAAAACAGCCCACTAAACCAACTTTTATATACTACCACACAAATTTACTCCACTTTCTACAAAGTCTATTCCCATCTTCACCCATTACTAGGGGTTTCAATTTGGCTCGCCGACTCGAGCGGTTCGTGGCTCGGCCGGGGAAAAGCTCGAGCCGGCCCGACTCGCGGCTCTGTAGAATCAAGCCGAGGCTTGGGCCGAGCCCCATGTTGGAGCGACGGCCCGAGCCCGTGAGCAAATTTATAAATAAAAAAAGAAAAAAAATTAAACTTTGGCAGCTACGTGTCTGTGTTGTAGGTAGCTACTGCTCCCCGATACAAGGCAATAGGCAGTGCTGCCTTCCAAAAAAAGAAAAAAAAAATCACTAGTTGGCTCGGCTGGCTCGATAAGGCCCAAGCCAAAAGCTCGGGTCGAGCTTAGATTTTTTTTGTCGAGCAAAGGCTCCGCTCGGCTTGGCCGACAAAAAGCCCAAATCATTTTTACTCGAGATGAGCCCGAGCTTTGAGTTTTGGCTTGCGAGCCGGCTCGTTGACATCCCTACCCATTACCCAAGCCCATGAACC